GGTCGGGACACTTTTGTCTGATCTTCAGTCATTAAGTTCCATTAAGACATGTCCATGCTCTCTGAATTTTACAGAATTGTTCCTTTATATTTTATGAGAAAGACTAGAATTCAGAGAACGCCCAGTCTATTTCAACACCAGGTAGCAAAACTGATCATTTTGAGGAATTGGGCCCTAGCTATTGAGTAAGTTTACTAAAGTTGGTTCTAGCATGTGGAGCCAAGAATGGGGCAGTGTTCTCTGTCACCTCACAGACAGGACTACCGGGTGTTTTGTATCCTCCACGCTAGAGAAGGAGGTTCACAGTAAGAAAAGTAGAAGTCAAGAAGAGAGCAGAGGAAAACGGGGTCTTGACAGCACCTAATACTTTCCTACTCCCCCTACTCAACCAGAAAGAAAACTCCAATGTGTCAACAATAACAAAGATGAAAAAGGAAAACCATGGATATCTCTGGGTAGTCATGCATGATCCTTAGTCTGAATCCCATGGCTGTAGTTATCTATGAATTTCATCTGTGCGTGTGCAGCAGGCAAGGAGGAAAAGGACGTCACACACTCAGCTCTCCTTTCACCCTGGTTGTCCTGGGGACCTGGTTCCTCTTAACTCATCTGCTGTTATGTCATGTCAATAATATGTCACATTATGGTGGCCCCAGAGTGGAGTAAAAAAGATGCTTGAGCAGATGCCGCCTCTGTAACATGCTCCACTGAGTCATAGAAACTCTGCCTCCTGCACAGGCTCAGAGAACCTGCTGTGCTGCTCCCCAGACAAGCCACACAGGAGGGCAGCTGGGCCACACCAAGCAGGGGAGTTTCTGTTAAGGGCTGTACCACTGTGGGAGGATCATGTGTACCTTGATAACAGTAATAAACGCCAAAGTCTTCAGGCTCTACTCTGCTGATTTTGAGAGTGAAATCTGTCCCTGACCCAGTGCCGCTGAACCTGTCTGGGACCCCAGAATTCCGATTAGAAATTATATAGATCAGGTGCCGTGGAGACTGGCCTGGCTTCTGTATGAACCAACTCAAATACGTGTTTCCATTACTATGTAAGAGGCTCCGACTAGACCTGCAAGAGATAGACGCTGATTCTCCAGGAACAACAAGCAAGGAGGTTGGAGTCTGTGTCAACACAACGTCTCCACTGGATCCTAAAATGATAAGAGACAAGTACCAGGTTATGAACAAATATAGAGAGTTTTGAATATTTTTTACTAATATTTACTTCTTGCTAATTACATTCTGTTCCTGGCCTAAAAATACCCATTGTATATTTTAAAAAGACACTGACAAAGCATAACAGGGCCTCTGGAAGTCTCCTACATGATCCCTGCCCTTCAGTGTCAGAGTCTTCATCAGAACACAGCTTCTTCCTCCTTCTAGAACAGCCCTCATTCTCACAGATGTAAACTTCCCAGGCCCGTCCTGAAGACAAGGTCTGCACGCCTCACAGACACCAGGAAGCATGGGCAGCAGTGGACCAGAGCACATCTTCCCACCCGGCTTCCTCCTCAGCTCCCTCTGTCTTTACCAGGGATCCAGAGCATTAGCAGCCAGAAGAGCTGAGCAGGGCGCCTCATTCTGAGTTGAACTGTGGAGTCTTGGTCATCAACACAATAATACCACTGAGCTTTTATCTCAGACTTGCATGGATAGGCCTCCTGGGACAGTAATATGCAAATTTACCGGTGGGTGTAACAGTGTGTAAAATAGTCAAGTAAGGGTGAGGCCTGTTCTTGTGTGCAAAGGAGCAAGAGTGTTTTCTGTGTTTGGAGAAACAATACATGTGACCTGAAGCAGTGGGCCGAATCTCTCCAATGTGAGCATCTTAGTCTGTGGATAAGACACTGGGCACTGGGCCCTGCCACCCTAAGACATCATGGAAAACCCAATAGCATGGAGTTGGGTGGGTAGATTAATCATAGAGAGTGGACTAGACATGCTATCAGCTTCCACCAGCTTTAGAGATGGAAACAGTGCCCAGCCTCAGGGTTGTGATGTTTGTGAATTTTATCCAATAGCAGCACTGTCCTGAGGTGGCTGAACTCATAAGTTTGGTTACTAGGGTAACTGTTTAGGACTGTTCGGTAAGTATTAGTAACAGTCCAGGAATGAACACATGTCAACTAGGAGGCAAGTGTTACTAGCTACTGAGTCATTTCACTGGCCCTGTGTCCTGTTTAAAGGTAAGAGTAAAAGAGCAGAGAATTGAATGCTTCTGAGCATGAAGATGAACTGACACACAGTACTGTAGGTGCTGCAATAAATATCCTGGCATACTTTCCTGCTGCATCTATGAACACAAAAAGTACAGTGATGCCAACAACTATATGGGGTTCTGTTTGGGACCTTTGGTGACCCTGTGTCTGGTGAGCGTCCTCCTCACAGGAGTATATGCAGGATCTTCGGGATCTTTGTAAATGACTATGGGACAGAAGCCATAGCATTGCGGTTGACGTATGTTCACAATTGAGAATATCTGTAGCTCACAGTATCAAATCCTGTCTTTCTTCGGATGTGTTGTCAGATACTTCCTATAAAACACTTCTTTACTTTGAATTTAGCCAATTTGGTTACTACCACTTTAATCACACTTACCATGGAATCTACTATTAGGAAATAAAAAGTCACCTGTAATATACCCTATTCCTCCAAACATACTATGTCTTAGAATGTAAATAATGTGCTCATGGTTAATTTAGAAATAATCTTTGAGTTCTTTGTTCAACAGAAACTATTAAAAATTCCCTCACTCTCTGGCAATAGAGATTCTTAAGATTTAACCACCAAACTAGTAAGACTAATGTTCTGTGGTATGTATCCATTTTTCTTGTCTGCAAGAAAGCCATCTCACTTTCAAGGATACGCACGACCTTCAGGTGAAAGGATGGGAAAAAAATTCCAAGTAAGTGGTACTAAGAAAAAAGTAGGAGTTGCAATTCTAATATCTGACAAAATAGTCTTCAAACTAAAACTAATCAGAAGAAATAAAGAGGGCCACTTCATTCTGAACAAAGGAGCAATTGACCAAGAATATATTACAATATATATTCACCAAAATCTGGTGTACCCAACTTCATAAAAACAGTACTGCAGGACTTTAAGACTCAGATTAATCCCAACTCATTAATAGTAGGGGACTTCAATACCCCATTGTCTCCATTAGATAGGCCAACAGGACATAGAATTAACAGAGAGACATCTGAAGTAAACAATACCATACATCAAATGAGACTAACAGACATGTACCAAATATTCCACAAGCAACAAAGAATATACTTCCTATTCAGCACCCCATGGAAACTTCTCCAAAATTGACAACATACTTGGGCACAAAACAAGCCTCAAAAAATATGAAAAGATTGAAATAAGTCCATGCATTCTACCAGACCACAATTCAGTAAGGCTTAGAATCCACATGGGAAGAAACCCTAGTAACTACATGAACACATGGAGATTAAACAACACACTCTAAATGCTGAATTGGTCAAAGGAGATATTATGAAAGAAATAAAATTATTCCTGGAACTGAATGAAAAGGACAATACAACACAAAAAGACTTCTGGGTCACACTGAAAGCAGTCCTTAGAGGGAAGTTTATAGTGTGAGTGCCTACATTTAAAAATCAGAAAGAACACAAATAAATGACTTATTGCAACTCAAGACACTTGAAAAGCAACAATAAATGAAACTGAAACCTAGTAGACAAGAAGAAATAACAAAAACCAGACCAGAAATTAATGAAAGAGAAACAAAGAAAACAAACAAACAAAAAAGAATCAACGAATCCAAGAGCTGGTGCTTTGAAAAGATAGACAAGATTGATAGACCCATAACTGAGTTGACCAAAAGAAAAAAAGAGCGCATCCAAATCAGCAAAATCAGAGATGAAATGGGAAACATCATAAAAGACACAAAAAAGATCCAGAACATCATAAGGGAATACTTTAAAAACCTATATGCTACTAAATTTGAAAACCCCCCAAAAATGGACAGGTATCTAAAAGCATGGGAACCACCAAAACTAAACCCACAAGAGATCAACAGCTTAAAGAGACCCAGAACACACAAGAAACTGAAAGAGTAATACAAAACCTCCTGACTAAAAAAAGCTCAGGAACAGATAGATTCACAACGAAATCTATCAGACATTTAAAGAAGATCATTATCCAATACTACTTAACTTATTCAAAAAGATATAAATGAAAGGAAAACTTTCAAATTCCTTCTATGAAGCCAGCATCACTCTAATACCAAAAAACAGGTAAAGATATAACCAAAAAAAGAAAACTATAGATCCATATCCTTAATGAACACAGATGCAAAAATTCCCAACAAAATACTTGCAAACAACATACAGACACATAGCAAAAAGATCATCCACCATGATCAAGTAGGCATTATTCCAGAGATGCATGGACAGTTCAATATACGTAAGTAAATAAATGTCATAAATCATATAAATGGACTAAAAGACAAGAACCACATGGTCATCTCAATACATGCAGAAAAGGACTTAAACAAAATTCAAAATGCATTTATGCTCAAAGTCCTAGAGGAAATTGGACTTGAGGGAACATACCTAAACATAATTAGACCCATATACAATAAACCCTCACCCAATATCAATCTAAATGGAGAAAAACTGGAAGAATTCTGATTAAAATCAGGAACCAGACATGGCTGGTAACCATCTCCACTCCTTTTTAACATAGTGCTTAAAACTCTTTCAAGAGCAATAAGACAAGAGAAGGAAACTAAAAGAGTAATACTTGGAAAAGAAGAGATCAAATTATCCCTTTTGCAGACGGTATAATATTATATGTAATAGACACCAAAAGTTCCACCAGAAAACTCCTAGAAATCATTAGCACTTTGAGTAAAGTGTCAGGTCACAAAATTAACCTACAAAAGTCTGTAGCAGTGGTAATAGCCTTTAACTTTTTAGGAGCTTCTAGAGTCTCTGTGACCAAAATCTCCAAGAACAACAGCCCAGTTTTAGGGCTGGGATTTCTCCATTAACAACTTCATAGCTTCTGGAAGCATCTATTTTTACTCTTGCAAGACACTTTTGACTACTCATTAACATTTATCAATACAGGCTGTTTCAAACTTCTCTCACTCACTTTTGTAGTTTAATCTGTGCCGTACCCAACCACAGAGCTCCCAAGAATTTTAGAGGGACCCCAGGCACTCACGTCCTTGGCAAATTCTTTCCATTCATGTTGATTCAGGTGCACTCATGTGCCTTTCAAGTGGGTTTGCAAATCTGTAAAATGCTCAAATATTTTGGTTGCACATGGAGAAAACCTTTCTACAGAGGGCTGACAGGACAATGACACTAAGTCCTGAATGGCCATTGCATAGTAAATTGCCTAGATAATTTTGGGGATGAATTTGAAAGTTCATTCCTATCTGTTCCAAGCAGTTGTCAGGTAATTACGGAAGGTCACAAATAAGATGATACTAAACCATGGTCTATAAATTAGCAAGTTCTATTTCCTAAAGCACTTTCTTGGGAGCTCATGAATATATCACATCTGAGGAACTTTGTGGGTCTGTCTCAAGCTGTGGATATAGGGTGAATGTGGAAGTGGTCTCCACCCTCCTTGGCTATGCCTGCACCTGACTCCTTGGCTATGCCTAGACTTCACCCTCTGGCTGTGCCTCTGTCTGGAAATTGTGACTGTACCCTCCAGTGAGGCAGAGGCTACACCCACCGGCCAGTAAAGGCTGCACACACAAAACAAGGCTGAATACACCAGATATTGGAGCTGCTGACCCCTTGGAGCAGAAAGGGTCCCTAGTTGGGGGAATAATCTTCAAACCTAAGAGAGATATGTAAAGAGTCTATGCAGAGGAGACAGCTGCCCACCCCTACAATGGCTGAATCCACTTTACCTGTACTGTCTCTCAATCCATCACGTTGGGCACATTGAATGGAATGTTGTGGGGGCCACCAGGAACCAAGATCCACCTGATCCTAGTGTCCACTCAAGCCTGAATATTTTAGAATAATTACAGCATTTTAACAGGGTGAATTTATTCACACTGCATGGTCCCGACCTTCAGATGAAACTAACTAGCTGATTATAGGAACAGATGTTGGAATTTGCACCCAAGTGCTCCTTCCATGACAGCCTGGTATCCTGTTCTGGGCTCTCGGCTGCACTGAAAACTTACTCTGCCCTCTGGTTAACACAGTCCTATCTTGACCCATGGTGGGCATCATGAACGAACTATCTCCTCAGTCCTTTCACAATTATCCTTACTTTCAGTCTCCTTCCTCTACCATCTAACTCTTCCCAGAGGGGTTTCTTAGCATGATTAGCTTGTTATTTTCTCCATCCCCTGGCCCTCCTAGCTACAGGATGTGGCAAGCCAATGCTCCATCTGCTCCTCTCTTTTACCCAACAGTTTTGTCAACTCAGAGGCTAATGTGGAGAATGCCTACTGTTGATCATTCATCCATGCTAAATGTTCATTAAACACATTCATTCCATCTGTTGATTACCTTGGACTTTGATATTTTCCTGACTATGCATAGCCAGGACTAAGCAACATCTGTAGCTGTTAATGATACTCTGTCTCTGGCATGCTATTATCAGGGACTCTAATGTCATTCTAGATC